TCTTCAAAACCGCTTCTGTAAGGTTGAAACCCCGTTCGGTTCAGAGTATTATTTTGTTGTGTTGAGTGAATGCCAACTGAATTAAGACTATCGTTATGAACGTGAGAAGGGGATGGCCTACGAGTGATACAAATTGTTAGAGTTGTGGACAACAGGCTGTCTATAATGGTTGACAGACTCACCGAACTTGAACTATAGGTGATGTTCGCTGGGAATGAGAATATATAAGAGACTCTTTGGGATCGGTATGTATTCTGTGCTCATAATAGGATTGATTATCACTTTTTCTCAAATGATTTCTTAAATGATTATCACTTTCACTCCTATCGATCTGATGCGCCGGAATCGGTGCAATCGTCACGATAGGAGGCGAAGGGCCTATCAATCCATTCATATATCTTCTGGAAATGGAAGAAATTGGAAATATTTTTATAATTATAAGTCAAAAATGGTCTATATCATTTAATAAATTATATAAGAATAAAATACAGATAATACAGTATTATATCGTATAAATTTATGAAAACTTTGTCAATCCATTTATTTTACACAAAATGCTATTAAAAGTAACGGGAGAATATTTATAAGCAGATTATTATACTGTACACTTAAAGGTAACTTCTATTATATTGTATATTATACATGCAATTATACAGTAATTATTAATTGTAAACCCTATCAGTGGTTCCGTAACAAACAATTCTCACAATTTATAAGTGAATTATAGGTATTATAATTTATTTGGTGCTATAAATCATGTTTAATATAGAAATGAACACAACATTACCCAAAAGGTTGACAGTGAGAGCCAATGCTAGGAATTGATGACTGAAAAGATGTGTTGGAATTTTTGCTATAAGTGGAAGAATGGCTCACAGAGAGGGCTAACGGTGAAGGCTGTTGTCCAGAATCGGTGTCAATCATTGGATCAAATGACTGTTTGGCTAATTTTCTGAGTGCGGCGGCAAAGCTGGAAGTTCTGGTAGCGTTTAGAGCAGAGCCGGACACAACGTTATGGTATTGGCCTGCATTGCTGTGCGAGGATATGATGGGCACTATAATCGGTGCTATAATCGGTGGGTTCGGAGGCGCTGTCACTTGATATAAAGGCGAAACTGTGGCCATTTTGCGCTGAACACCGCCCGCCGACGTAATGGTTGATATATGGGATGTGTTCAAAGCGGATGTCTGATGGCGTGCTTCAAGACCTGATATGATATATATTTATATATATTGTTAGTAAAAGCAATGTTTTCTGTAATTAACAGTTATATAACTAAAGAGAGCAGTCAGTGATTGGAGTGCAGCTGCCGTTCAGACAGATTGCATGCATTCACACCTGGCGTTTGTGTGCCGTTTATCACAAGCTATTCGCCTAATACTTATACTTCAAACCAAAACAACAAATTAATGCCAATAAATGGTTAAAATATTTCTTATTTAAACATTTTCTATAATGTTATACAATATTATCGTCGAATTAAATGTGTATTTTATGCCACATATAGAGAAAAGAGACGACAAATGGAAAATGTATTTGAGATGTAAAGTGATTATCACTGTTAGCAGTGAGAGCTGTGTCAGCCCTGCAGTCAATCCGTACAACAGATCAAATGCAAAAGAAAATCGATACTAAATCGTGACAAATCTCAATGCAATCATTACAGCCCAGGGATGCACTTCTCACTGATGTGTCACCTTTTTTGCCTTTTATTCTCTTCACTATTAATCTTCACATAACAATCAAACACTTCTCTATCACTTTCTTAAACCAATTATTCTATAGTTTTATATATACGGTAGTTATAATTGTTTCATAAATTAATTTACAAATTTATATGAATTATTTCGTAATAAAAATTGATATTTAAGTAAATTTTCTATAGTATATAAATTTTTAATCCCTTTTTTAATATATAATATTAAATTTGTGGTTTAAGATGAGCTTTTTAAAAGGTAGTGTTAACCACACCAAAATTCAACGGATAATATGATATTAATCCTATACTGAATAATACTGCTCATCGACGATAACTTATTGTATCAAATTTCCTTTAAGCTTATGTTTATGATATAAAATTACAGATTGGTTGCCGGGAATTGAGGTTAAGCNAGAATCGGTGTCAATCATTGGATCAAATGATTGTTTGGCTAATTTTCTGAGTGCGGCGGCAAAGCTGGAAGTTCTGGTAGCGTTTAGAGCAGAACCGGACACAACGTTATGGTATTGGCCTGTATTGCTGTGCGAGGATATGATGGGCACTATAATCGGTGCTATAATCGGTGGGTTCGGAGGCGCTGTCACTTGATATAAAGGCGAAACTGTGGCCATTTTGCGCTGAACACCTCCCGCCGATGTAATGGTTGATATATGGGATGTGTTCAGAGCGGATGTCTGATGGCGTGCTTCAAGACCTGATATGATATATATTTATATATATTGGTAGTAAAAGCAATGTTTTCTGTAATTAACAGTTATATAACTAAAGAGAGCAGTCAGTGATTGGAGTGCAGCTGCCGTTCAGACAGATTGCATGCATTCACACCTGGCGTTTGTGTGCCGTTTATCACAAGCTATTCGCCTAATACTTATACTTCAAACCAAAACAACAAATTAATGCCAATAAATGGTTAAAATATTTCTTATTTAAACATTTTCTATAATGTTATACAATATTATCGTCGAATTAAATGTGTATTTTATGCCATATATAGAGAAAAGAGACGACAAATAGAAAATGTATTTGAGATGTAAAGTGATTATCACTGCTAGCAGTGAGAGCTGTGTCAGCCCTGCAGTCAATCCGTACAACAGATCAAATGCAAAAGAAAATCGATACTAAATCGTGACAAATCTCAATGCAATCATTACAGCCCAGGGATAGTGTTGCCAGGTCATTTTCCTCATTTCCTTGAGATAATCATTTCTTTGGTAAATTTTCCGGGAGATTCCTTGAGAATTTTTAAAGAATTCCTTGAGTCTTTCCTTGAGGTGGCAAAAAAGTCTTAAAATGTCATTAACATATAAAAATTATCGAAATAATCAGTCCATACTCAAAGTAACGTTTAGATCTATACGATTTTTGACATTATCCATTTAATAATACTATACTGATTGTTATTCTAAACAAATCAAATATTGGGAATTAAGTGAAGCAATAATTATAAACTTAATAATTGTAGTATTCATCTTTATACAAGGCTTCTAAAAAAAGTAGTAAATTTTATCAATTTATTTCTCATCATGCAATTCCGGGAGCTACCCATATCAAGGTGAGACCCCCGCCGGGAGCCGGGAGTCAGACCCTGATTCCGGGAGACTCCCGGGCAACCGGGAGCTTCTGGCAACACTACCCAGGGATGCACTTCTCACTGATGTGTCACCTTTTTTGCCTTTTATTCTCTTCACTATTAATCTTCACATAACAATCAAACACTTCTCTATCACTTTCTTAAACCAATTATTCTATAGTTTTATATATACTGTAGTTATAATTGTTTCATAAATTAATTTATAAATTTATATGAATTATTTCGTGATAAAAATTGATATTTAATTAAATTTTCTATAGTATATAAATTTTTAATCCCGTTTTTAATATATAATATTAGATTTGTGGTTTAAGATGAGCTTTTTAAAAGGTAGTGTTAACCACACCAAAATTCAACGGATAATATGATATTAATCCTATACTGCATAATAATGCTCATCGACGATAACTTATTGTATCAAATTTCCTTTAAGCTTATGTTTATGATATAAAATTACAGATTGGTTGCCGGGATTTGAGGTTAAGCTGTTGTGATTTACTTGATTTACCATACTCATTTTGCTATGAGACAATCGGCAATACTTTTATCAATGCATTAATATACAAATATTAACTTTATTAATATACTGTATTTGTAATAATTATTGGTTAATATTTAGCCAAATCATGATTCAAATATATTCGCCAAAGAATAGGCATTTAGTAAATTGCAATGCATTTACTGTATATCTGAATACCTCGTGTGCGCACATCTGCTTAAGATAATGACATTTAGATTGAAGTCAGTATTTGGCACAAGACTTAACAGTAAACATTCAATCGATAGGTGAAGTCATTGATCTATTTTACTGTTTGACAAACAATATAGTGTGGAAAATGTGAGTAACAATAGGATTACCATATATTTTATATCACTCCAAACCGAATGAATGGGTCAACAATTATTTTGAATTCAATGTTAATATTAGTTATCAATACTGTATTATAAGTACAATCGACGCGCCCAGTAATCAAAGTTCAATTACTATTTATGAATATGAATTCATAATTTTGATGAGTCTATATATCATCATGAATCATCAAGTGTTAGCCGTAACACATTTAAGTAGTATATGGGGGATGGTTTTTTCCCGACGGCAATATCTCGAAAATTCCAACATAAAATTTTTTCTTGATATTACATTCCTATCCTACTTTTTTATGATCTACACGATGGGCATAGTCAAATAGGGTGGACAAAAATTGCGGTCACATGTGAAACGAATTCTATAGATTACTGGGAATTACTGGGAATTATACAATAATGGATGATCCACTGATTCATCACTATTATTGATAATTTGGATAAAGACTAACTAATAGAACATTATAGTAATGATACCCTTTTCTCAATACTGTTCGTAATGTGTGTAAAACACATCAATTGTAGTCCTTATAAAAGCAGTTATGATTTTACTCTTTAAATGCATTGCAATTATAATCAAATTATTGTTCAATAAAAGCTACTTTTCTGTCATACATTCACTGAATTATTGTATTATTATTACTATTAATTAAATGCGGTTTTTGTTATTTATATATAATTTAATTTTAAACTATAAATTATGCATAACTTATAAATTTAATTAATATAACTAAAAGACATGTGAGATATATTTGCGGCCAAATAGTATGGCATACATTATAAGATTAGGATTACTTATGATTACATTTTAAAATTAACTCTAAATATCAAGCAATATAAGCAATAACTGTTAAAATAGTATATTCTAGTCGTGAATGTAATTATAATAAATGCATTAATTGCAAGAAAATACAATTCATAATAGCATTTGGAGTGCATTAAGTAATTGTCACTAAAATATGTCCGAAATTAAGCAAATGATAGCGAATTTGATTCATAAAAATGTGTCCACAAATAATAATCACCGGAAAGAGACCATGGATTGGATGAGTTGTGTTGTTGTCTCTGGGCTGACATGTTATCCATTTGTTGGGCACTCTTTTCGTCATTACAATTGAGATAATTATTAGACAAAGAGTTGGTCTGCGGTTGTGATGCAGATGTAGTGAACATTGGCTGAGAAGTAGTGGTGAGGAAGGAGTGATGTAATGGCGGCGCACAAGACATCA